GGTATGGGGAGGGTCCTGCCTTCTGTCCCTGTGCGTGGTGTAGCCCTCTAAGCTCGGAGTGTGCTGCGCTGTAGACACACACGAGGGGCGCAGGCAGGATTGTGTGAGCCTGGTTCCCCCTCACACCCTGTGCCCACCTGCAGACGGTGAGCGTGATTGTCCAGGACGAAGGCGTGGACGCCATCCCGGTCAAGGTCCTCAACTGTGACACCATCTCCCAGGTGAAGGAAAAGATCATTGACCAGGTGTACCGCACGCAGCCCTGCTCCTGCTGGCCCAGGCCAGACAGCGTGGTCCTCGGTGAGTGTGCCCACCACCCCCTGGATGCCACGCTCAGGGGAGTGGCCACGCCAGAGGGTCCCAGGAGCCTGCTCTGTCCTCCCACAGAGTGGCGGCCTGGGTCCACAGCCCAGATCCTGTCCGACCTGGACCTCACGTCGCAGCGGGACGGCCGGTGGAAGCGCATCAACACACTGATGCACTACAACGTGAGCGTGCGACGGGGGTGCTGCACAGGGCAGGGCTCCGGCCGAGTGCCGCCCACCCTCTGACCTCCTGACTCTGCTCCCAGGTCCGCGACGGGGCCACTCTCATCCTCTCCAAGGTGGGCGTTTCCCAGCAGCCTGAGGACAGCCAGCAGGACCTCCCCGGGGAGCGTGAGTCCCTCTGCCCCGGCCCTCGGACCCTCGCGGCCCCCCGCTGCCCCATGGGGTCTGCTCACACTCAGGGCCTGCCCACTCCCTGCTGCAGGCCACGCGCTGCTGGAGGAGGAGAACCGTGTGTGGCACCTGGTGCGGCCAGCAGACGAGGTGGAGGAAGGCAAGAGCAAGCGTGGCAGCGTCAAGGAGAAGGAGCGGACCAAGGCCATCACCGAGATCTACCTGACTCGGCTGCTGTCCGTCAAGGTGGGCGGGGGACAGTGGCCCTCAGGGCGGGTGGAGCACGGTGCTGGCATTGCCCCTTGGGGTGGGCCTAGCACAGTGCTAGCTGCCCAGAGAGCTGCCGTGCCTCACGCCTCACATGGCCGCTGCCCCCCCACAGGGCACACTGCAGCAGTTTGTGGACGACTTCTTCCAGAGCGTGCTGGCGCCCCGGAATGCTGTGCCCCCTGCTGTCAAATACTTCTTTGACTTCCTGGATGAGCAGGCAGAGAAGCATGACATCCGGGACGAGGACACCATTCACATCTGGAAGACCAACAGGTGTGGGCCACACCCTCAGCCCCGCCGCCCTGCCTCCTGGCCCTCACCTGCCTCAGCCCCTCCGCCCTGCTGCCCTGCCTCCTGGCCCTCAGCCCTGCCCCAGCCTCAGCCCTGCCCCCCTGCCTCCTGGGCCTGCACCCCTGCTGTGATGCCTTAATGGTTCTAGTCCCCCTTGCCTCTTCTGCTCTGCCTCAGCCTGCCACTGAGGTTCTGGGTGAACATCCTCAAGAACCCACACTTCATCTTCGACGTGCATGTCCACGAGGTGGTGGACGCGTCCTTGTCAGTCATTGCACAGACCTTCATGGATGCCTGCACGCGCACAGAGCACAAGCTGAGCCGTGTGAGTGGTGGGGCTGGCTCGGGGCCATGGGTGGACAGTCTGCATGCTGAGGCTGGATTGGCATGGGGGCCTGTCCTGCACATGGCTGGGGGCTGAGTTTGCTGCAGATAACAAGGTAACAAGACATAGCTTGAGGTTTTTATTTGTAAGGCAGGTTACACAGAGGGAATAAGCGCTTCCTTCCACTGCAATAACCCCAGGCGCCCCAACAGCCAGGACAGAGCCAGGGAGGTTTCCAGGTGGCTGGGACCCGAGCATGTAGGTCCCAGCCCGTCAGTGCGAGGTCTGGGTGGGTGCAGGGCAGCCTTGTGCCAGGAGACACACCAGCGTTGGCATTCGCCACATGGATGTCCTAAGCAGTGACATGACCTGCCGTGCCACACGGCCTGTCCAAGGAGGAGAAATCCCCCCGGGTGGTTCACTTCCAGTGCCTGCAGCAGCTGGGCTGGGCACGGGGCCAGCCTGGGAGCTGGGGCTCTCCAGGCCTCCGACATAGATGGTGGGCAGGGTTGGGACGCAGGCCCCTCTGCAAGCCGCTCGTCTCCCAGGGCCTGCGAATGAGGTTACGGATGCCCAGTGGCCTTGAGTAACGGCTCCTGCTGCTGCCCTCCACCAGCTCCCACCCCGACTGGATGAGCGCGTGGAGTCCTGAGCACGGCAGGCTGAGCCACCCCCACACCGGCCCCGTGTCACCCCCATGCCACCCTGTGTCTCCCAAGTCGCCCCTCCCGGTCCCTGTGTCACTGTACTGTGTCCCCCCCACAGGACTCACCCAGCAACAAGCTGCTCTATGCCAAGGAGATCTCCACCTACAAGAAGATGGTAGAAGAGTAAGTGCCGCCCTCCTGCAGGCCAGGTTGGGGTCTCGCTGGGGAGGAGGGCCCTGCAGCAGCAGGGGGGGTCCTGGGCAGATTCTCCCCTCCCTCTGCCCTTGTGACCACCCCTCCCCCGCAGTTACTACAAGGGGATCCGACAGATGGTGCAGGTCAGCGACCAGGACATGAACACACACTTGGCCGAGATCTCCCGGGTAAGAGCCCCCTGAAGGGCGGCCAGTGCGGTCGAGGCTGGTCACGCTGGGGTGCAGGTGCCCCACACTGTCCCTCACTATCCCCCAGGCTTGACTGGCCTCTGGCCCTTGCTGTCCCCCCGGCCCTCCCACTGTCCCCTGGACTGTCCCTCACCTTTGCCGGCTTTGCTGTTCCCCTAGGCCCACACAGACTCACTTAACACCCTTGTGGCGCTGCACCAGCTCTACCAGTACACACAGAAGTACTATGATGAGGTAGGACTCCCGGAGGCAGGGTCGGGGGGGCCCCCAGTAGCCCCTCCTGGGCTGTGGTCTCAACCTTGGAACCTTCCCCCAGATCATCAACGCCCTGGAGGAAGACCCAGCTGCCCAGAAGATGCAGCTGGCCTTCCGCCTGCAGCAGATTGCGGCCGCACTCGAGAACAAGGTCACAGACCTCTGACCTCCAGCTACTTACCGCCTCTGCTCTGGCACAGGTGCCCAGGGAAGGGCCCGAGGGGCCAGACAGCACACAAGTGGCTGAGCCCCGCTCCCTACAGAGGTGCCGGGTGCCTGCAGAGGGCGCCGTACACCTGGCAGCTGCCTCTACGAGCCCTGTGCCAGGAGCCAGTGCCGGGACTCTGTGTGAACACTGAGTGACTCGCAAATGTGCCTTACAACACCGCACCGGGCCCCTGGGGCCGGCCTCCCCTCACACCAGCAGCCTCTTGGACACCCAGGGCCCCTGGGAGGGGGGCCCTCAGCTCCCAGGGCGAGTGCCCAGCAGGAGGAGAGCTGACCACCAGCGGTACAATGCCTTCCCGACCTCACCCACTGCCCCCATGGACTGGAGTACTGCCCGGCCCCACCTCCAAGGTCACGCTGGACGTCAGACGTCGGGGCCCAGCAGATGGAGGTCCTGGGCTCAGCCTGTCAGACAGGCTGACCTGGAGACCCCACTGGGTCTGGGGGGCTGGGGACAGCTCCATTGGAACCACCCACCCCTTTTTGTAAATCTTGTTTATTGTAAATCAAATATACCTGTCTTTTTCACTCTGCTGCTCGGCTGGGCTCCCAGGGGCTGCAGGCACAGCACTGGTCTTGAAGTGGGCCCTGTGGGAGTCGGTGGCAGGCATAGGCCTGGCTCCAGTGCCGGTTGGGGGCCTCCACGGCAATCTCCCTCCATGTCTACCCTGTTCTGTGAGCCCCCCTCACTGCCTACCCTCTAGGAGAGGGCCTGGCCTGGGTTTGGTCAGCTGTGTCCTGTGAGTTCTTGGAGAGACCCCCAGGTCTCAGTGCTTCTGAGTATTGGGGGTGTACCCCCAGAATGGGGTGCAGGCAGTTACCCTGTGTGGGTCTGCAGCTAGTGGGACCTGAGCATAGCTCAGCTGACACGAGCCAGCTGCTCCCATTCCGTACCCCTCACTGGGTCTCCCTGGGCAGTGGACCCTCTCCAGGGGGGGTTCCAAGGCTGAGCCACCCCACAGCTGGCTTCCAGACTGGACTCTGCCCCTTACCCTGGGAGCAGTTAAGGAAGAAGGGACTGGTCCGCCAGAACCCCTCACAGTGGGGTCCAGCTGGTCTCCACACTCACACTGGCTTCTGTCCTGGGGCACCCAGGGTCCCCTCAATCCCCGAGGGTGGCAAGGAGCTGTGGGTATCCCATGACCTCTCCACATGCAGAGTAAAGTCTGCATCCCACAGCACACATGTGTGCGAGTCCACTGACGGCCACAAGCCGAGCTGGGGTGGCAAGCACGCATTGTGCACCCGAGCACTGGCATGCCCGACTCCCTGCCTTTCCGGCGGAGCCTCCACGCGCCCGGGGCCACACCAGGCATGCCCGACTCCCGGCCTTTCCGGCGGAGCCTCCACGTGCCAGGGTCCGCACCAGGCATGCCCGACTCCCTGCCTTTCCGGCGGAGCCTCCACGCGCCCGGGGCCACACCAGGCATGCCCGACTCCCGGCCTTTCCGGCGGAGCCTCCACGCGCCCGGGTCCACACCAGGCCCCAGGCCCGGGGCATCTCGGGCAGGGATGCTTACCTTTGACCACTGACCCTGCACGCAGCACATGGCACACAGCTGGGTTCCTTCTCTACCGTCCAGGGCGGGGCCTCTGCGGAACAGTGCCCGGGGTGTTCGGGTGGGCTTTGTGGAGGGCAGAAGGGCACATCCGGGGTCCACACCACAGGAGGGGCCCAGGGTCGCCGCTGTCCCTGGTCCTGATGGGTCAGGCCCATGTGGGATCCCGACAGGTGGCGCCGGCACGCCTGGGCTTCACCCTCCGGGCTTTCCCTTCGGTTCCCACGGGAAGCGCCTGCGAGGTCCGCTCCTGCTGCTCCTGCTGCCTCCGGCTCTCCGCCCTGCTTGGCTCCGGCCTCCTCCCGCCGTCAAGCCGGGAAATCCGCCCCGCCCCGCCCCGCGCCCCGCCCGCCGCCCCCGCCGCCCTCCGCAGGCTCTGCTCCCGCTCGGGCTCCGGCTCCGGCATCCGCTCCGGCGCGGGCCTGGCCCGGACATGTCGGCCCCCCGCGCCGGCTTCTACCGGCAAGAGCTCAACAAGACGGTGTGGGAGGTGCCGCAGAGGCTGCAGGGGCTGCGCCCGGTGGGCTCCGGCGCCTATGGCTCGGTCTGGTAGGGGCGGGGCGCGGCCGGGAGCGGGCACCGGGCGGGGCTGAGCGCGCGCCCCGCGTTGCGCGCGGGGATTCAGGCGCGAGGAGGGGCCTGGGTCTGTCTCCGCCCCCCAGCCCTGCGCAGAACGCGGGGATGAAGGGGGCTGGGGGGCGTCTTCCCGCCATGCCCCAATCTTGGGATGTCACAGGGCTGGCGGGAGGACCCCCCCCCCAGAGACCCCGAGTGTCTGAGCGCCCATCGGGATCCCGCAGTCCCTGCGTCCAGCGGATGCCCCGCCCCCGTGCTATTGTTGGAACGGAGATCCCTAGAATGGCCTCGGATTCCCCCGGGGATTCTGCATGTCAGTCCTTTTCCATCCAGAGCCGGGGCCCGCCGCCCTCTGCAGCTCTGAGAGGGTGCCATCCATGCCCCCGCACAAGGAGCCCCGCCATAGGGGCTCAGACTCCGATGCCTGAGCCCAGGGCTGGGGGCCCAGGTGGCCTGGACCAGGTGGATCAGACAGTCTCGGCAGGGGAGGGGACCAGGCCTTTGGAAAAGGAAAGCTGGAGATGGCTTAGGGTGAGCAGGGATGCTATGGCTGTCACTGGTGTGGACACTGGCACAAGTATGTACGTGAACAGGTATCCTCACAGCACCCATCCAGGGTCAGGTGGCCGCTGTCTGTTGGTGGTCACAGTGGGGCAGAAGGGAGCGTGAGGTGGGCAGCTGGGGGCTGGGGACAGGGCGTGGCTACCTCCAGGCTCTGCTGGCTCAGCAGGCTAGGAGCGGAGTTCTCAGGCCCTGGAGTCCCAGGGATGCCAACACTGGTCATTTGGACCATTCCAGCACTGGGCAGGATGATGTGCAGCCAGCGTCTTTGGGGATTCTGGGGATGTCAGGGCCCTTCAGTGGAACCTGGGTTCCGGTTGCAGCCCAACACTCCGTGTTTGCTCAGGTCCACCCCACCAAGGCTGGGAACTGACCAGGTGCCAACTCTGTAATTCAACAGCTCCGATGTGACTAGGCTGAAGGACCTGCGGTCCCTCACTGCAGAGTGATCCAGACGAGCCCCCTGTGGGTTAGACTGGAGCTGGAGAGGAAGACAGATGAACGCCCACATGGTCGGGAGGGGCAGGGCACGCACTGTGGGGGTCCTGCCGGGGCTCCTGACCTTCCTGGCTGAGCCCTGAGCCCCAAGGCAGGGACCTCACCCCAGGCTGGTGGACCCCTGGCAGCCTCACTCGCGTGCGCCTTCCAGCTCGGCGTACGACACGCGGCTGCGCCAAAAGGTGGCGGTGAAGAAACTGTCGCGGCCCTTCCAGTCGCTGGTGCACGCGCGCAGGACCTACCGCGAGCTGCGGCTGCTCCAACACCTGAAACACGAGAATGTGAGTGGAGGGCCCCGGGGCGGGCTGGGGTCGGCCGCCTCACGCCGCCTGGCTGCTGCCCGGCTGCTGCCCCGCTCCGCAGGTCATTGGGCTGCTGGACGTGTTCACGCCGGCCACGTGCGTCGAGGACTTCAGCGAAGTGTGAGTTCCGGGGGCGGGGGCCGTGTTCAGTTGCGGGCGGAAAGGCTGGGCCTGATCCTGATTGCAGCGCCCCCCCCCCCAACCCCAGGTACCTGGTGACCACCCTGATGGGTGCCGACCTCAACAACATCGTCAAGTGCCAGGCTCTGAGCGATGAGCACGTCCAGTTTTTGGTGTACCAGCTGCTGCGCGGGCTGAAGGTGGGTCCTGGGGCGCGGGCGGGAGGTGGGGGTGTGGGGCGGGCCAGAGGTAGGGTTCAGGGCTAGGGGGCGGGACAGAAGTGGGGTTCAGGGGCAGGCGCTGCTGGTGACCCACCGGAGCTCACCATCTCCCTCTCTGCAGTATATCCACTCGGCCGGGATCGTCCACCGGGTAGGTGTGGCCAGGGCGGTGGGCGGTGGGCGGCCTGTCCTGGCTCTGCGGGCGCAGCCCCTGTGCTCAGGCCTCTGCCCACCCGCGCAGGACCTGAAGCCCAGCAACGTGGCGGTGAATGAAGACTGCGAGCTCAGGGTGAGCACTCATGGGCCAGGCAGGCTGGTGGGTGGGCTGGCAGTGGGGAGGAGAGGGCTGCTAAGGATACTTGGTCATTCCCCAGATCCTGGACTTTGGACTAGCCCGCCAGGCTGATGAGGAGATGACTGGATATGTGGCCACACGCTGGTACCGTGCCCCAGAAATCATGCTCAACTGGATGCACTACAACCAGACAGGTGCCGCTGGCCAGTGGAGCCCCGGGTGCCCAGGCTCGGGGGGTGGGGGGCAAAAGGGTGAAGTTGCAGAAGTCTGACCTAGCTTTGGGGGATCCACACTCAAAAATAGGCTTTCCCAGGGTCATCTCAGCCCATGTGGTCAGTCTTGCCAGCTCCTCCCCTTCCCAGCATGGGCACAGAGGAGTCCACTGGGCTGGCTGCTGCCCAGCTTCCAGAAGTGCCTGGGGGTGGGCAGGCTGATGGCCCCATGCCTCCCCCTACAGTGGACATCTGGTCTGTGGGCTGCATCATGGCCGAGCTGCTCCAAGGGAAGGCCCTCTTCCCAGGAAGTGACTGTATCCTTGGCCTAGGCAGAGGTCAGGGTCAACCTGAGGAGCCCCACACCAGCATGGGGGTGGGGGGCTCCCATGTGTGCTCTGTCCTCAGTGGTCAGAGAGCAGCCTGGGCAGGGAGGGCCACCGTGGCTGCTTCCTGAACTGGGCAGATATCGACCAGCTGAAGCGTATCATGGAGGTGCTGGGCACGCCCAGCCCCGAGGTCCTGGCCAAGATTTCCTCGGAGCACGTGAGTCCTGCCCAGCATGCCCTCTGCTGATCGGGCTGGGCACCATGGGGAAGGCCATCATGGCGGGCTGGGGCAGTGGGGTGCACAAATGACCCTGGCCAAGGCCAGATGTTGGGGTGGGGCCAGCTGCAAACTCAGCTGTCACAGGTGTCAGGGCCAGGCGAGGACCCACAGGCAGCTGGAGCTGCAGTCCAGTGTTTTGCCCAGGAGTGAGCAGTACAAAGCCCCCACCTTGGCTGGGACCGAGCAGCCCCAGCAGGCCTGTCCATGTCCTGTGCCTGTAGGCCCGGACCTATATCCAGTCCTTGCCACCCATGCCGCAGAAGGACCTTGGAACCATCTTTCGCGGAGCCAACCCCCTGGGTGAGGCCTGGCCCTGGGCCGGGGTGGGACTCTGTGGAGCCTGGGCAGAACTACAGTCCCTCCCTGGCCCCATGCAGCCATAGACCTTCTAGGGAGAATGCTGGTCCTGGACAGTGACCGGAGGGTCAGTGCGGCCGAGGCGCTAGCCCACGCTTACTTCAGCCAGTACCACGACCCTGACGATGAGCCTGAGGCCGAGCCCTATGACGAGAGCGTGGAGGCTGCAGAGCACACTGTGGAGGAGTGGAAGGGTGGGTGTGGGGGTTCCTGGGGTGGGGAACGGGTGCAGGAAACCTCCCAGCTGCTCCCCAGGCTCGGGTGGGCAGAGGTGGATGTGTGCAGCCAGCCGAGGCCTGGAGGGCTGGGGGGCCAGTGGGCAGAAGCCAGGGCAGGGGCACGAGTCACTGTTTCCCTGTTGGCCCCCAGAGCTCACCTACCAGGAGGTGCTCAGCTTTAAGCCCCCGGAGCCAGCACAGCCACCTGGCAGCCTGGACATGGAGCAGTGATGAAGGGGGGCCTGTGCCTGCCTCCCTCTGTCTGCAGCACCCCGAGTCCACGCCGGGGTAGGGGGTTGTCCCTTGGGGATACCAGAGCCCCCAGGGACTAACAGGGAGGGTCTCTGTGGCTCTCTGGGTCCCAGAATTGGCAGGGTCTCTATCAGGTGCCAAGTCAGCACCTTGTGTTTCCCTGTGGCACACACATGTGGGCATACGTGGGACCCTGTGCTGGAGGGGGTGTTACAGATCAGGGCATCTGAATCCCTGGTGCCCAAGGCCACGTACAACAGGAAGCCTGAGCTGGGGGCTGCACCAGTGCCTCCCTCCCCCAAGTTCCTGATGCCGTGCAAGGTGCTGAAGTCAGCTTCTCCTGGGCCCGAGGTTCCGGACACATGGGGGCTGCTGGCTGGGAGCCCCAGGCCCGTGGTGGGAGCTCCACCCTGGATGCTGAGACGGGCAGCATAAAGACTGTACGAGGATGTCGACACTTCTACTTGGATTGATGGGGCTGCTGCCTCTCTGCTGAGTTTGTGGTCCTGAGGCAGAGATGTGGAGCGCCCAGCACAGGCTCAGCTATCCCCCTGCTCCTGGGATGGAGCTGACCGAGGAAGACCTGGACGGAGTGTGTGGCACGGGGCCCCTCCCCACAAGGACCAGGGGCATCTAAATGTCAAGTGCCTGCATTGGGGTGCACAATAAAGGGTTCCCGTGCGCTCAGCTTGGTTCTACCGCCTGCTGGGTTGACCAGCCTGGTCCCTCAGGCCCCCAGTCAGACCCGTGGTCCCCTCTGCTAGCTGCTTGTTCTCCGGGAGGGTCTGAGAGCCCAGGTGGGCTTGATGGTCAGCACAGGCTGCTGGCAGGCACCATAGCCTGGGAATCCATGCCATCCCATGGGATCCCTCTCTGACCCTCAGGTGGGCAGCTGCCTTTGCCCTGGATCTTCGGGGCTGGGACTCTGAAGGGTGGCCTTCTGAATGCCTGGTCAGCAGAGCCTAGAGACCAGGATGGTGCATGTCTAGCATTGGGGGTGAGGGGTGGAGCAGACTGGGGACACAACCCACCTGCAGACCAGGTCTGCCATGCGGCCCTCACTAAGTGGAGAGACATGGGCCCCTGCCTGGGGAGGCCACTCCTGCACCTCTGGTTGCCCACAGTGGGGAGTGCTCCAGCCCACAGCCAGCTGCAGGTGCAAAGCTGCTGGACAGAGGGCATGGAGGGCAGGGCAGGATCCAGGTTCTCTTTAGACCTGGAAGTGGGGGGGAGGGTTCCTTCCCTTTTGCTCCTTCACTTCTGGGGCAGGCACACCTTTCAAGACACAGGGGGACAAATGGGCCATGCTTGGAACAAACACCCCGTCTGTGGGCCTGAGGGTAGAAGCGGGGTGCTGACCTGTCTTCCCAGTTGGGAGCTCGGGTCTGTGGGCATTGGGCATTTACCTCTCTACATGCAAGGGGGCATGAGGCAGGGCACACCGCAGCCCACAGGGACGTATACATGGGGATGGGCATGGGGGTCAGGTCCCCAGGGCGCCCTGAGCCCCGCGGGTGGGGCTGGGTGCAAGGAGCGCAAGGCCAGACAGACCCCGGCCCAGGTCTCCAGGGACGAGCCTGGCGCTGCAGGACGCCGCTCCCTTCCCTCCCGGGCCGGCTGCCGCCTCGGGTTTCCGGAGGGACCGGCGGGCGGGGGCGTCACGTGCGCGTGGCCCGGGGGCCGGTTGGTCCGCGGGCGGGGGAGGGGTCGGCGGGCGCCGGGGCCGGAGGGCGCGCGGGGTCAGGGGTCCCAGGTGCTGGGGGCGGCCTTGGCCGGCCATGAGCTCGCCGCCGCCCGCCCGCAAGGGCTTCTACCGCCAGGAGGTAACCAAGACCGCCTGGGAGGTGCGCGCCGTGTACCAGGACCTGCAGCCCGTGGGCTCGGGCGCCTATGGCGCCGTGTGGTGAGCGCGGGCCGCGGGCCGGGCGGGGGTCGGCAGGCCCGGCCTGGCCGCTAAGCACTGCGCCCCGCAGCTCGGCCGTGGACAGCCGCACCGGCGCCAAGGTGGCCATCAAGAAGCTTTACCGGCCCTTCCAGTCGGAGCTGTTCGCCAAGCGCGCCTATCGCGAACTGCGCCTGCTCCAGCACATGCGCCACGAGAACGTGAGTCCGCGGGGTCGCGCTGAGCCCCGCCGGGCCCGCCTCCTGCCGCCGGGACCCTCCCACCGGCCTCGGGTCCCCTGCCCCACCCGGGGCGCGTGGGGCGCACAGGGCGGGGTTCTCTGAGGAGGGTGGCCAGCACACGGCCCTGCACCCTTGTTGCCTTCCCGCCAACATCGACGTGTCTTTTGGGGTGGGGGCAGCACAGCTCCTGTCTCCAGGCAGGGTTCCCTGGGGCTTTGGGGTCTGCCCCTGCCAACCAAGTCAAGCTGGTCTGGCCCACAGGGTTGCCCGTCTCGGGGCGGTGGTTCCGGCGGTCAGCAGACGTTCTGGTCTCTGAGGTCAAGGGGGCTGCCAGACCCCTGGGAGAAGGATACTTGTGTCCAGGCAACTGACCCCTGGGTTGTTGGCCACTTCCACACTGGGTGGCCCTGTTGAAGCCTCATATTCTCCACGACCACCACATCCCCCTGGCCCAGGGTGCATTGTGGGGTGCCCTCAGCCCCACCTGGGCCTGGTCCCCCGGTTTCCTGTGCCTTCTCAGCATGCCCCCACTGGGACTTAGCACCCTGCCTGTCCAGTCAGGGGCTTGACTTTCCCTGACCCACCTGTGCTCCTGCTGTCCCTACAGGCTTCCTGAACCACCTGCAGGTCTGCCAGTTGGACCTGAATGCCTGCCTGGCTCAGGGGCTGCAGGGGCCCCAGTCCTGCCCCCTTGCCGCCCTCCCTGGTTCAGCTCCCTCCGCAGTGGACCTTACCTGTTGCATCGTCAAGGCCTTACTGGCCTCCCTCCACATGTCGCTCGGGCTCTCCTTTCTGTTGGGCCACCTTGCCTGGGGACCCTGCCGCCAAGTTGCTGTCCCCACTCTGGCCTCTGGCTGTGGTACCTGTCTGCTGTCCCTGTCCCCTGCCCAATGGCCTCCAGGGCTGACTGTCACTGTGTCGTCACCGTTGGCAGAGGCCATGGCTCCAGAAGGGCCTGCTGAATGCTAACTCCCCCGGGATCTGCCCCATCCTGGTCCAGCAGCAAGAAGACAGCGAGAGGAAGAGGGGGAGGAAGGGCCAAGGGCTGGGAGCCTGTGGGGAGCTCAGAGCCAGCCCAGACTCCGGGCTGCCCCTCCCCCAGAGAATCTCAGCTGTCGCTGTGCAAAAATAGCTGTGTGTGTGTGCGTGTGTGTGTAGGTGCCGGACAGGCTAGTGGGGGCTAGCCTGTGTGTGTGTGCGTGTGTAGATGCCAGGGCCAGGCTGGTGGGAGATGTGGGGACAGCTGCAAGGGATCTTGCCCAGCATCCTTGCTTCCTCCGCTGCCCCCCAACCTGGCCCCCTGGTCCCGCAGGTGATCGGCCTACTAGATGTGTTCACACCGGACGAGAGCCTGGATGACTTCACAGACTTGTGAGTGCTGCCAGGCAAGGAGGGGAGACAGGGGCACCGGCTCAAGGCTCTTGGCTGGTAGGGGCCCTTGCCCCATGGCCAGGTTGGCTGCTGCGACACAGCTTGCCCACCCCATGTCCAGACCACTGTGCATGTGCTCTGGGTACATGGGCACTGCCCTCCCAGGTATGGCATGGATGCCGGGCCATTCCTGGCAATGAAGATGTAAGCTTGGTTAACAGGCAGGTCCCACACGCTGGGCCCTGGACCACGTGTGTGGCCTGTAACTGGAGCTGCTGCCCTTGGCCAGTGAGTGGAGGAGAAGTGGCATGGAGGTCCCTCCTGCTCTGGCCACCTCAGTCTGTTGTGGGCCCAGAGCCCAAAGCCAGGCCTGGGAAGAGCTGCAGAGGGCAGCAGGCTCCCTGTCACTGACAGCCCAGGTTAGTGTCTCCTGGGGCAGCACCCTTCAGCTGCCCAGCCCACTCTCCGGCCACCCCGGCACTGCTCCCAGTCTTCTGATTGAGAGTTCAGAGTGGGTTGTGTTTGGGGATGGATGGGGACCCTGCTGAGACTGACCCGGAGGCCAGTGGTGGCCAGGTGCCACAGGGTGGCCATCCAAAGGGGCGGAGTGCCTCAGGATCTGGCCCCCTCTGCAGCTATCTGGTGATGCCGTTCATGGGCACCGACCTGGGCAAGCTCATGAAACATGAGAAGCTGAGCGAGGACCGCATCCAGTTCCTGGTCTACCAGATGCTGAAGGGGCTGAAGGTGGGAGCTGCTGGGCAGGTTGGGGGGCTTGGGGCCCTGGGCTCTGGGACGCTGACAGCTGCTGTCTCCACAGTATATCCACGCCGCTGGCATCATCCACAGGGTGAGTCCTGGGAGTGGGTCCTGGGGGTGGGGGCTGGACACCTCTGCCTTTCCTGGAAAAGACCCCCATGGGTGGTACCTGGGCTCTGGGCCCCGTGTGCGCTTGGCCCATCCTTCTGCTCCAGGACCTGAAGCCTGGTAACCTGGCCGTGAATGAGGACTGCGAGCTGAAGGTATGTGCCTGGGAAGGGCTGGGCAGTGCTGCAGGGCTTCCCAGCTAGGGCAGGCCTGAGGAGGCCCCTTTGCTGGCAGAGGGCACAGGAGGGGCTTGGGGAAGGTGGTGCAGCTCTACCCAGGAGCTCCTGGGTCGCCGTGGGTGTTGCTTGCTGCCTTGGGCCAGCACTTGGGCTGGTCTCTCCATGCCTCTTGCTCGGTTTCTCCCCGCAGATCCTGGACTTCGGCCTGGCCAGGCAGGCTGACAGTGAGATGACCGGTTATGTGGTGACACGGTGGTACAGGGCTCCTGAGGTCATCTTGAATTGGATGCACTACACACAGACAGGTAAGAGCCTCCCGAACTGCAGGCTCCAGCTTGCTCCTGCAGCCAAGAGGGGCTGGCGGCTGGGAGGCGGGGGGACAGGTGCTGACGGCTTCCCCTCTCAGTGGACATCTGGTCAGCGGGCTGCATCATGGCTGAGATGATCACGGGCAAGACGCTATTCAAAGGCAATGACCGTATCCTCCAGCTGTGGGGTGTCGGGATGGGGGTGGCCCCTGCTCCCCGTCCCCGAGGTGTCCTCCAGCTGTGGGGTGTCGGGGTGGGGATGGCCCCTGACCCCGTCCCCGAGGTATCCTCCAGCTGTGGGGTGTCGGGGTGGGGATGGCCCCTGCTCCCCGTCCCCAAGGTGTCCTCCAGCTGTGGGGTGTCGGGGTGGGGGTGGCCCCTGCTCCCCGTCCCCGACCCTGTCCTCCAGCTGTGGGGTGTCGGGGTGGGAGTGACCCCTGCTCCCCGTCCCCGAGGTATCCTCCAGCTGTGAGGTGTCGGGGTGGGAGTGGCCCCTGCTCCCCGTCCCCAAGGTATCCTCCAGCTGTGGAGTGTCGGGGTGGGGGTGGCCCCTGCTCCCCGTCCCTGACCCTGTCCTCCAGCTGTGGGATGTCGGGGTGGGGGTGGCCCCTGCTCACCGTCCCCGAGGTATTCTCCAGCTGTGGGGTGTCAGGGTGGGGGTGCCCCTGCTCCCCGTCCCCAAGGTGTCCTCCAGCTGTGGGGTGTCGGGGTGGGGGTGGCCCTGCTCCCCGTCCCCAAGGTGTCCTCCAGCTGTGGGGTGTCGGGGTGGGGGTGGCCCCTGCTCCCCGTCCCCGAGGTGTCCTCCAGCTGTGGGGTGTCGGGGTGGGGGTGGCCCTGCTCCCCGTCCCCAAGGTGTCCTCCAGCTGTGGGGTGTCGGGGTGGGGGTGGCCCCTGCTCCCCATCCCTGAGGTGTCCTCCAGCTGTGGGGTGTCGGGGTGAGGTGGCCCTGCTCCCCGTCCCCGAGGTGTCCTCCAGCTGTGGGGTGTCGGGGTGAGGTGGCCCTGCTCCCCGTCCCCGAGGTGTCCTCCAGCTGTGGGGTGTCGGGGTGAGGTGGCCCTGCTCCCCGTCCCCGAGGTGTCCTCCAGCTGTGGGGTGTCGGGGTGGGGTGGCCCTGCTCCCCGTCCCCGAGGTGTGCTCCTGAACTCAGGCCAGACCTGGACCAGCTGAAGGAGATCATGAAGGTGACTGGGACACCGCCGGCTGAGTTTGTGCAGAAGCTGCAAAGTGCTGATGTCAGTGGGAGTTGGGGTGAGGCCGGGCAGGCCGGGGCGGGCGGCCACCCCTCACCCGGGCTCTCCTGCAGGCGAAGCAGTATGTGCAGGGCCTCCCTGTGTGTGAGAGGAAGGACTTGTCCTCTGTGGTGACCAACGCAAGCCCCCTGGGTAGGGCAGGATGGCGGGTGAGGAAGGGCCAGGGAGTGGGGTCTGGGTGGCTGGCCTGACACCCCTGCCTCTCTCATATCTGCCCAGCTGTGGCGCTTCTGGAGAAGATGCTGCTGTTGGATGGGGACCAGCGGGTGACGGCAGCCGAGGCCCTGGCCCACCCCTACTTCGAGTCACTACATGACACGGAGGACGAGCCCCAGCCTCAGAAGTATGATGAGTCGTTTGATGACGTGGACCGCACCCTGGATGAGTGGAAGAGTGAGTTGTGCCAGGTGTCCCCCCAGGTGGTCAGGCACACAGGCCCCACCCAGGTGCCCCCACAGCCGTCCAGGCCAAAGCAGAGTGCAGGTTGAGTAGAGTGGGGCTCCCAGGTCACCAAAGCCAGAAATCTGTCCACCCAGAGGGCCCTGTGCCTGCTTGTCGCAGGGCCCAGCGCGTTCCCGCCCGGCCACCCGGAGGTGCCAAGGCCCAGCGCGTTCCTCTCTTCCTGGAGTGCTGAGGCCTTGGCTTCATGAAGCTGTCCTGGTTGCAGAGCCTTGCTGAGCAGCAGCCGGCGGTGCTGGAAAAGTCGCAGGCAGATCCAGGCTACGGGCCCTGCACCCCGGGGTGGGGGTGGGAGGAACCCTCCATTCTCAGCGCTCCGGACAGCGTGTCCCTGCTGCCCGACAGGAAGCCACAGACTACAGGCCCCTCCCCGTGGTTGCCGCACGCACAATCACCATGACTGACGTGGGAAAGTCCACTTGGGCTGGGGCAGTGCAGGGTGAGGGCTCGGCTCGCCAGCCCTCAGCCCAGGCTGAGGTTTACTGTCCATTGTCTGCCGTTCCAGGTGTCACTTACAGGGAGGTTCTGCGCTTCAAGCCTCCGAGGCAGCTGGGAGCCAAGGTCTCCAAGGAGACGGCCCTGTGATGACCCCCACTGGACCTTGGCTGGGGCTCATGTCCCAAGACCCTCCAGGATCTGTGGACCTCTGTGCTCCCTTAACCAGCCCCGGAGGAGCATCCAGATTCAAGCTGGACACATCCTGGGCTGGACTTTGAACACAGGAACCTCTGCGCTGGCAAGGGTCAGGCTGTGTGCTGGCCTTGGAACCACAGATGCCCAGCCCCCAAGGAGCAGGAATGCAGGGACCCCACCCCTCCTGCACCCCACACTGTAAATGGGGATTTGGCATGCCCAGGGGCCCGGAAGGGAATAAATATGTTTGGGCCTCCCCGTCTGGCTGTGCAGCTTGGCTCAGGGCACCTGAGTCAGGGCTCCGTCCAGCCCTGGTCCCCAGGCTGTGCTAGTACACCTGGAGTCCCTGAAATGGGGCTTTGCCACGTGAATTCCATCATTGCCAGGCCAGGTGGGGTCTGCACCCACAGCACCCCAGCCCTAGCCTGCACTGCCCTCTGCAGGCCGACGGTGGTGAGGGTTACACTGGCGTTCCTCCAACCCTCAAGCCTCCTGTGCCCTCTGAGCATGGGCAGGTAGCCCTCCAGTTGGGGCCAAGGCCACCCTTGTGGGCATCTGGCCTTCCACCCTTGGTCCACTGTCCACATCGCAGCAGTCCACAGCTGCAAGACCATAGCTCGCCAGATGGCTCCAGGAACCTCTAGGGGTGCCCAGAAATCCCGTTGAGGTGTACCCCGACTTTTGGCCAAGGCCTGAGGACCCCGTGGTGTGCACCCGGACTTAATTCACCCTCCACCCTCGTGGACTTCACACTTTCCCTGTCCCTGCCTCCATCCCGCGCTTGCACAGTCCAAGCTGCCTGGGTGATTGGGTTTGCCCGGAGGGTGGGGCCGGGAAGGGGGCGGAGTCCGGGCCGAGTGCGGAAGCGGAGTCACCGGGATCCTGTTCCTCTGTGCCGGAGTGCGCGTGGAGTGGCGACGTCCTCCAGCGGCTTGGTCGCTCTGCGGCAGCCACCCGGCCCCTGCCTGCACCTGCACCCACCCGCCGCTCCCAGCTCGCCCTGCGGCCTCCGCCGGCCATGAGCACTGCGATCGTGCACCACGAGGACATGACGGCCGCACGGCTGCTGTGGGACGAGTAAGTGCGGCCCGGGCGGGGGCGGCGGGGCGCGGGCTGCACGCTGAGCCGCCTGTCTGCCCCAGCCCAGAGTGCGAGATTGAGTGTCCTGAGCGCCTGTGCGCTGCACTGAGCGGCCTGCAGCGGGCCGGCCTGGAGGGCAGGTGTCTGCGCGTGTCCGCTCGCGAGGCGTCAGAAGAGGAGCTGAGCCTGGTGCACAGGTCAGACCCTGCCTGGGACCGGGGTCTGCGGGGGCGCCTTGTCCTACTTTCCTCTCAACCTGCTGCTTTGCTGTCAGGTGCGAGGGGCGGGTGTGTCCATGCCCCTGCCCACCTCAGCAGGTGATGCCTCCTGCCTGTTGCAGCGCCGAGTACGTGGCCCTGGTGCGGGCGACCCAAGGCCTGACTGAAGGCGAGCTGAAGGTGTTGTCTGGGAAGTTCGATGCTGTCTATTTCCACCCGGTGGGTGCCTTCTCTGCACCCCCAATGTGACCACCCAGCCAGTGTCCCCGCGGCCAGATGCTGCATATGGCCTGGGGCCCCGCAGCCTGGTGTCCATGGGGCGTCCTGGGCAGCAGGGGGCTGAGCTGCATGCCTGCCCCCTCAGGAGACCTTCCACTGTGCCCGGCTGGCCGCAGGGGCTGCGCTGCAGCTGGTGGACGCCGTGCTGACGGGGACAGCACGCAATGGACTGGCCCTGGTGAGGTGAGGGCCGCCCCTTTCCCCTCCATTGCCATGTCCTGTGGTCACGACCCTGATTATGCCTTGGGCTCCTCTCCGCCCTGCAGGCCTCCTGGGCATCACAGCCAGAGGGCGGCAGCCAATGGGTTCTGTGTGTTCAACAACGTGGCCCTGGCGGCCCAGCATGCCAGGCAGAGGCATGGGCTGGACAGGTGTGTGCCGGCTGGACTGAGCATGAGGGCAAGGGGCACACAGTGTGGGCCTGGCTGGGGTGTGGGGGCAAGGGGATAGGACAGGTGTGGCCCAGCTGAGTGGGGGCCCGTGGCTGTGGGGTTGGGCAGTGTCCCCATCACCCTGGCCGTCTGTCCCCAGGATCCTGATTGTGGACTGGGATATCCACCATGGACAGGGCATTCAGTACACCTTCGAGGATGACCCTGGGTAAGCCCTGGCCGGCCACAAGTCCAGTGCGAGACCCATCTCGTGCTCGGCAGGAGCCATGGAGCTGTCCTCGCTGCTGACCCCTGACTCTGGCCACTTGCCTGCAGCGTCCTGTACTTCTCCTGGCACCGCTATGAGCACGGACGCTTCTGGCCTTGCCTGCGAGAGTCGGATGCGGATGTGGTCGGGCGGGGGCCAGGCAGCGGTTTCACGGTGAACCTGCCCTGGAACCAGGTGCTGCCCCATACCCGTCCACATCTCCCGGGGTGGGGGCTGCCCTGGGCGGGGCTGTGCCCTGTACCCGTCCACATCTCCCGGGGTGGGGGCTGCCCTGGGCGGGGCTGTGCCCTGTACCTGTCCACATCTCCCGGAGCGGGGGCCGCCCTGACGTCTGTCTGCAGGTAGGGATGGGGAACGCTGACTACATGGCTGCCTTCTTGCACGTACTGCTGCCACTGGCCTTTGAGGTGCCTACCCCGCGGCTGGGGGTCTGTGGGGGGTGGATGTCTGGGGGGTGCTGTCCAGCCTCTGCCTCACCCCTCCCCACCTGACTCGGCCTGCAGTTTGACCCTGAGCTTGTGCTGGTCTCCGCGGGATTTGACTCAGCTGTTGGGGACCCTGAGGTGAGGGCCTGGCTGTGTTGGGAGGGGCTGGGGTCCTGGGGCCCAGGGGTCACATGTGCTATTGGTTCCAGGGGGAGATGCTGGCCACCCCGGAGTGCTTTGCCCACCTCACACGGCTGCTGCAGGTGCTGGCTGGAGGCCGGGTCTGCGCCGTGTTGGAGGTGAGGATGGTGGGCAGGGCCTCAGCAGGGTCTTCCTGGGAAGACCCCTGCCAGTGACTCTGCCCCAATCCCACCCCCAAGGGCGGCTACCACCTGGACTCCCTGGCACACTCAGTGTGCATGACAGTGCGGGCGCTGCTAGGCGACCCCATCCCCCCTCTGTCGGGGCCTATGGTGCCGTGTCACAGGTGCGAGGGGTATGAGGTGCTGGGGGGCTGCACGGGGGTGGAGATGGGTCTCACTGCTGCTTCTCCCTCACAGCGCCCTGGAGTCCATCCAGCGTGTCCGAGCAGCCCAGGCTCCCCACTGGATGAGCCTGCAGTCCGAAGGTGTGGATGTGCAGGCCTCAGCTGGGCTACCACGCTATGCCTGTGACCCCTACTCACCTCCAGAAGCAAGGCCCTCCGCTCCACCACCTGGCAGTCCTGTGTGCGAGCCGGCAGCAGCTACCCCAAGCCCTCTCCTAGACGAGCTGCAGCCCTGCCCCCCACCCCCCATCCGGACAGCTGTGGCCCTGACTGTGCCAGATGCTGCCCTGTTCCTGCCCCCGGGAGTGCTCCATCAGGTGGGGTCAGTGCCGAGAGAAGAGACAGAAGCCTGGGCCAGGTGGGCAGGCAGGCCTGTGGCCGGGGGGGGGGGGCGTGGGAGAGCCAGGTGTGGCTAACAGGTGTTGCTTGATGACCACTGCAGGCCACATGAGTCCCTGGCCCAGGACGAGGCCTGCACTGTGCTCGGCAAACTCCTGCACCTCTTGGACGGGATCCTGGATGGGCAGGTAGAGCCAACTGCCTGGTGGTGCTGTCGCCCTGGCCTGTCTAGATGGCTGGGTGCTGAAGACACATGAGGGTGTGTGTGTTGGTGTGGACCAGGGTCCCTGCCTAGGTCAGCCTGGGGATCGTAAGTGTCCCCTGGCTCTAAGAGGACTCAGGGACACAGCAGGGAACTTTTGGCAGCGGGGCGAATGGGCCCCAGAGAGGCAGGGTTAGGGTCACCCACCGCCGCGTGACGAGGGTCCACGGAGAGGGAGGAGTGTGGCTACGCCCTGGCCTGGGCTCCTCAGCCAGCCTTCGTTCCCAGGTAAACAATGGCCTAACACTCATCCCTGGCCCAGCTGTAGCGGCCGCCCTGGATGTGGTCATTCAGCGAGCTCTGTCCCATGGAAGCCAGAGGTGCGTTCCCCATCTCAACCCCAAGGGCAGGGCCCTAGCTGGCCAGGAAGGAGCCCTCTGGGAAGGACGGTCCTTCCTGGTCTAAGGTTGCGTCTCCCTCTAGACTGCTGTGCCTGGCCCTGGGGCAGCTGGATCGGCCGCTGGAACTCGCTGACGATGGGTAAGAAGCTGGCTTGTGCATGCGCCATGCTTGTCAGGTCATGTGTACCAGCTGAACCCCACCGCCCGCCCCGGGGAAGGGAGAACGGAGGACAAGATGCAGAGGAAGGATTGGAGCAGCTGGGGCAGTGCCAGTCAGGCCTTGAGCATTGCAGGCCCGCTGCTCAGGCCCTGGACTGACACAGTGCTTTGTCCCTGAAGGAGGACTCTGTGGCTCAGCATCAAGGACCAGGCAGCGGCTGCCCCATCCCCGTTCCACGTCTGCGTGCCACTGCCAGGGGTGAGTGGCCAAGCCCTATGGTGGGGCAGGCGGCGGGCTCCTCGCTCACTCACTCCTGGCAGCCCCGAGGCGGGGCGGCGGGGCGGTTCCAGTGGAGGCATCCTCTGGACCAGGGCTTAAGGCTGGCTGCTGCCCCACAGACGACCGGTGGGTTCCTGAGCTGTCTCCTGGGCCTGGTGCTGCCCCTGGCCTACAGCTGTCGACCTGACCTGGTGCTGCTGGCTCTGGGGCCCGGCCATGGCCTGCAGGAGCCCCGGGCCGCTCTTCTGGCAGCAGCGTTGCAGGGCCCAGCAGGGGGCCGAGTGTTGGCCCTGGTGGAGGAGGTGAGACCTGCCGTGGGCGGGGAGGCAGGCGGGCGGCGCGCAGGTCCCTGTCCACCTCCGCCGCTGCCCACGGCCCTGGCCCTCGCGCTGCACGGCGCCGCGCTGCCCAGCCTGGGCGCGTTCTGCAGGGCCTCTCCGGAGGAGAGCCGGGCGCTGACGCACCTGCGACGGCAGCTGGAGCCCCGGTGGGAGATGCTGCGGGTGTCCGGCGGGCCGCGCCCACTCAGTAAAGCTCGCTGAAAACAGAGTCCGCCTCCGCCTCTGCTTGCGCCCCGGGGTCCGCGGGCGCCACGCCCACGGGCAGAGCGGGAGGCGCGCCCGGGTGACGCGGCCCTGCGCGCCGGCGGCTGTGACGCGATCGGCGGGC